AGGGCTTTGCACAAGAACAGCCAGCTGAGGTCGATATGATAAGAAGGAAAGGTAAGATGAAGTATTTTCTGATCATAAAGGAACTTCAGAGATGTGGTTTCGGGAAGAATAAAGGAGAGATTGAAACACATCTGCTCTTGCTACAAGGTGACTTCAAAGACACTCTTTTGTGGTGTGGTACTAACCAATGTCTGTTTCAGAATGTCCTCGATATACGACTCTCGGTTTTTTGACCCTAAGACGACCCTTTCCCTTTATATACACAGTCTCGGAGCGTCCGGGACTCGTTGCAGAGCATCCCGAAAGTCTGGTTTGATATATGCTGGAGTCGGGTATCTTGGAGGCATTCCCTACACGAGGCCCAAAAATCTTATTTGGAGGCCAAGGGAGCCAAGGCTAGCTTACAGGAGGTGGACGGGATCATATTCTCTCCTGGAATGTAGGTTTTGAGAGGCGAGAAGGAGGCGCTGTCCGAGAAATCATGGTTAGCGATGTTGCGATGGAGGGACATCATTCTGGGTACTTCGGGAGTCGCTGATTCCCGGTTTAGGGGGAGGACGGATTTTCACGGCTTAAAGGCACAGGCTCAGCACGGTCAACAAACTGAGTGATTTGTTGTAGAAAAACAAGAGGGAACCAACCCCAAGAATTAATGGTGTATACGAAGAAGAAGCACGACAATATGATTTGGTATTATGGTATTGACATTGATCGTCGGGGAGAAACATGAACACAACCTTGAAACTCGAGAATCGATCGAGGGCTGATGCAGTAAAAGGGAAAGATTCGCTGACCGTCAGGGACTCCATGTCCCATTAGTAGTATGCCATGTCTTGAACAACTGTACAAACCAGACCTGATCCGAAGATGCATTCCAACCAAAAGAAAGTCCAGAAACTGACCGCCGCCAAAGGTGATTCATATGAGGTTTGTGGTCGAAGCTATAACGACGTCTCGTCAAACCAAGCTCGAAGGAAGTCTTGTGGATATGCTAGCTCTGGGTGCAAGGAAAATCTCATGCAAGGCGAGTTTCGAAACCAGAGGCTGTCTCCAAGGCACTTCCATCTCGAAGAGGGAACAACCGAGAAGACGAATACTAGCGGTACATCCCTGGAACATCAATAGTGTTAATCATCCAGACGGAGCGCAACTATGAGACAGCTCGAATGGAAAGCGAAGGAGAAGCCTTACCAGAAAATGGTTGCATTGGTGTTTGCGTAGTTCCAAGCCCCCGAGCTGACTGTGGAAGAGGAATCTGGGAGATGGAGCTCGGCATCTCGATTCTGCGAATGAGATCGACCAATTTCTCCGGGGAGAATCTACCGGCCGTGTACGCGGAGGCTGGAGGGATGATGCTCAGGAGATGAACAATATCGCGAGGTAATGGAGCTGGTGAGCCTTGAGATCTAAATTGCGATCCAGTCTGAACACCACTGAGTTGTGACCGCTTCTGCTGATCCATTTGTCGCCGTTGAGTGGTCTTTAAAGGTGATTCGGCCCTCACAAACTTGCGTGGCCGGTTGTAGTCATCGTCAAAGTCCTCCAGTGGTCGTTTAGGAGAGTCTGTAACAGAGCCTGGATATCTCGGCGTGGGGGTTCCATGGCGGGACATTGGCTGTTCCGTTGTAGGGAAGGCTACCTTTGGTCGCATCTGAGACGGCGATATAATCGGCCGCACAGCGGTCGGGTCGAAAGTAGGAGCCGAATAACGGTGGGCAAATTGTTCCAAGGTAGGATCTTCAGGAAACAATTCACGCATCCGATTTTCGAGGTTGATCACCTGAACCAGATCGCCATACCGGGACTCGTACTCATGAAGAAAGGCGAATATTGGCTTGGTCTTGTGAACGTTCTCAGGGTTAGACGCCAGCTTCCTGACCGTCATCTCGAACACTGCTCTCGCATCTGGAAAACGGATTAGGAATCAGATTACATTGGAAAAAACAGTGGTAACTTACTGATAACATCGTTGATATCAATCAAATGCTTCAAGTACTCGAGTGCAAAATTCTCATCTTCCGGGAACAGCTTAGCACCACGCTCAAAAATCTTTGTGGCCGCAGGGTCCTTATAACAGTGGTACTCAATGAGGGCGCTGGCAATGTAGACGTCGCTAGTAATGCGACCTCTCTTGCGCGCATCGGCGAACACTTGTCGGGAGCCAGGCGTCTCCCCGGGCTTACCTTTGCCCTGGATACGGCGCATGGCCCGCATGAGGGCAATCCAGGCGAAAGAGATCGTCTTTGAGAGAATGCCGATTTGTATGGCGTGTGCTTTGCGAACAGCATCGATCTGCGCATTTTTAACTGATTCTCTTGCTTTTGCCTCGCTTTGATCGTCATCATCATCGTCAGTTTTTGCAGGTGGCTTGTCGGCGTTCATCTTTGCAAAAGTCTCTTCAAGGCGTGCGACGTCTTGAGCTTCTCTCGTGCGTGCTTTCGCAATCAGATCGTATAAAGCATCAAGTAGTTTATCGTAGGGTTCCCGGACCTTGGCACCTCGTTTGATGGGATCTTGCTCAGACTCCGATGTGATTTCGAGTCGGTCTGCACGCTTGAAGGCAAGAAGACAACTTTCAGGGTTAGCTTCCATGCCCTGTTTGAGGAACTCGTTTCCTTCATTCTCCAGATCATTCAGAAAACAGAACTCGGCCGCATCAAACCACATTTCCGGCAAAAACCTCAGGGCCATGAGAGCTTGTTTGTAGACATAAACAACGCGGCCTTTGAAAGCAGCCGGATCCTCTTCTTTCAACACAAGTGGATCTCCCTTTTCCCACTTGATCCAACGCTTCCAAATATCAACCTGCTGGGTGAATTCAATATCACCATCAGAACCCGGCACAGGGGGCAATCTGGGCAACGTTGTGCGTATTAGATCCCTTGTGATATTTTGCAGCTCTGTAAACGAGCTACGAGCGGTCATATACGCCGGCGACTGCTCCTGGAGGAATTTACGACCCTATAATAGTGGGAGAAGATATTAAAAAATGTAGAACCTTCGCAGGATCGCTCGAACTTACCGTAAGTTTGTTTAGGCCCATCTCGAACTGGTCGTACTCTTTCCAGAGAGTATTGACAGCTTGAGTTGGAACGCCAATGGCTTTCTGATATGCCTTCCGAAGCAGGTCCATCTTCTGCTGGTCTTGCCAACCAGAGCCACCGACATTGCCTGGCCCCGATCGAACGAACTGAACGTAGTCCGACCAGATAGAACCCGAATCCTTGTCTACGCCGACGTGCTGAAACGCCAACTCATAAGCGGACGAGATAATCCTCCTCGCTTGTCCAGTTGTGTCCGTTGTCAAAGGATTACGCCTACGGACGTAATCCAGGTACACCGACCACAGCTGGACATCCGGGATGGTTAGAAGGGTTCGATTGAAGATTTGCTCGAGCCGATAAAGGTCGTTGAGCTCGGATTCCATCTTGGCATACGCCACCCATTGTTCGGCCTGAGATCGGTCAGCTTTCTCTCGTTGATGTTGAAGTGACTCGAGCGTACTCACAGCAAAGGGGAAAACCTTCAAAAACCGTTCAAAGACATCACGCGCGCCATCAATCCTATTGCGACTTCTGTGTTCGTTGATCAATTCGAGCCAGGCAGGAATGTCGCCACGAGGATCCTCTTGGATTCTGTCTTCCAAGATGCCAACTCGATCGTGAGGCAAGCGACCTTTCGAGGTCGAAGGAGAATCCGGTCTAGGAGTAGCCGCCGCGTTGTCTCGCACTTTTTCAGACTGTAAAGCATGTGAGTTGTACATACTCTGTCCAGCAGCAACAGCCACATCACTTTTAGGGGCAACAGCAGGAGCAGGAGAGTAAGAGCTATGGGAAACATTGTTCAGGCTGGCAGACTGTTGCGCAGCGTCATCCAAGGATACATCAGGGGTAGAAGAAGCTTCATTTTCATTTCCTGAGATGGATTGCCGAGGCACACTCGTAGGAACAGTATTCACGTCCTCAACACCAAGTACAGCTGGGGGCTCATAATCAGCATCACCCGCATCGTCCTCGTCTTCATCCTCAACCACAAATCCTCCGATTGTTCTGGTCTTCGGTTGCACAGATGTACCGGACGTTGGTACCGTAGTGGAAGCCCGAGACTCAGCTCGTGAGGGGGTCTGAGAAGGATAGGATGTACCAGCCGGTTGACTAGGATCATCGTCTGGTGGAACAGAAGTTTGCTCGGTAGGGTTTGGTTCTGGAGAGGCACTGGAAGAAACATTTTCACTTTGCTTGAGATCTGTCAAGGAGGAAGAATATTGGTCTTGGAGTGTTTTTGAAGGATCATAATCATCTGAATCTGAACTATCTGCACCATGCTCTTCAACAGCCTTATAGTCCACAGATTCCGCATTCATAGCCTGAGCCTGGAAAAAGGCTTTCTCAGCATCTTCTTCAGCCATGACAGGATACGAAGATCTCAAACGCGACAAGACAAAATGGCTGCAAACGAATGGCCTGGTCAAGTAATGTGCGATCAGTAAGTTGACCCAGAAGATCTGCGGCAGTCGCTCACCTACACTAAATGAAGAATTTGAAGTAATTGACCAGGAAGAATTCAAGGACAACACCTGAAAATGCAAATGAGAGAGATCAGCGTCTGCTGACGAAAAAGGAACCGAAATGTGCAGGACAAAGAAACTCCCACATGGGGCTGCTGAAGGTGGCTGTCGCACAGAGCTGCGGCAGAAGCTGCAGATGTCATCGTAGTCAAGTCACGTGATAAAGGCGGTGAGGCGCGACAGAGAGGAGGGACGCGAGGGCAGCGCGTCGGTTAATTACTTACTTCTTTCGGTTGGGAGTTGCTACTTGCATGATTTATCCCCCTCGATGGAAACTGTGTTTGTTATTTCTTCCCGACTTCTCCTTGTTCAATAGTTTTCACTTTTTTCACCCATCGCCTCGTGCGTCTTACATATCTCGTTTTCTCAGTCCCATTACTGTCCAACAAAAAAGGTTTCCTGCCTCATCTAACGCCATCACATATCAATCACCATGTCCGTGGTCTCACTTCTCGGAGTCAAGATTGTCAACAATCCCGCCCCTTTTCTTGCTCCATATCAATTCGAGATTACCTTTGAGTGCCTTGAACAGCTCCAGAAAGGTGACACACTCAATGTGCTTTTTTCAGCTAGGTTGAGTGTCACTAACGACTGAGTTACCAGACTTGGAATGGAAACTCACTTACGTCGGCTCTGCTACATCGTAAGTCAAGATTGCAGGACACAAAATGTGATTTGCTGTCGCTGACCTGAATAGTTCTGAATATGACCAGGAACTCGACTCTCTTCTTGTCGGACCCATCCCCGTTGGTGTGAACAAGTTCCTTTTCGAGGCCGACGCTCCGGACCTGAAGCGAATCCCTACTTCAGAAATTCTTGGCGTCACAGTGATTCTTCTCACTTGCAGCTATGATGGCAGAGAATTTGTTCGTGTTGGGTACTACGTGAACAACGAATACGACTCGGAAGAGCTCACCCAGGACCCTCCCGCCAAGCCGATTATTGAACGAATCCGCCGGAATATTCTTGCTGAGAAGCCAAGAGTGACCAGATTTGCTATCAAGTGGTAAGTCTTTCCTTTCTTTTTTTTTTTTTTTTTTTTTTTTTTTTTTTTTTTGTGTCAATCATTTAATTTTCTTTTTTTTTTTTGTCGGCTTTTTTGGGGAATTCTCAACACTAATATTCACAAATCCAACCCAAGCCGGTGTTGGCGTACTCTTATACATCTATAAATTCACCGCCAACCACGCCGAACACAATATGCAGCCTTCTG